TTGTTCATAAATCAAATGACAACCTTTCCTGCCAGTTCGACAGAGATTTTTGTAATGTGCTACATGGAATTGAAAAAAAAAGTTGGAGCATCCATAACAACCGATTCGTTGATGGTAGCCATGTAACTGTCAGCAGTGAGGTACTCACATGTAAATACTAACTCAACCGTTTAAAAAGAAAAAATCTACCCCTTGAGACGTTTTCCATCACTTCAAGAAATCGCGGAGAAACCAGTTTACAACAACTCCAATGTTTTTTTTACGGAATCTTAAGACAAGTCCACATAGTTATTTGAAAATTGTTTTGTCTTTTGTTTTCTGTCAATTATGAAAATTGGACTACTCGCCTGATTAAGTATTTATTGCAATCCACTCTCTGAAAGAGGCGCTTCCAAAACATTCACAGGCTCAGATGTTCATTCTGTGCACGTATTTTGAACAATTTAATCTGTGATAAAGTTTCTTCATTGTTTCATTGTAAAGTTTCGATTTCGTCACTGGACAGTGTTGCTGTCTCAGACTGATCCAGTTCTACATTTTGTCCTTGCTGATTTTCAGGAAAATCAATTTCATCATTAACCTAGCCATCATTTTCTCTAGGATGTTGAAGGGCTTCTTTAAGGTTACGGTAAACGTTTTGAACACGAAAATTGATTTTTCCTTCCTAAAGGCCAAACGGCTCAACGAATCTGGATAAACTATATATCATTCGATGCACAAGATTATGGCGTATCTAGCCAGATAAAAGTTATTGGCAAATAATGTTGAATGTTATTTTCCATGCGAATTTACTGGTCAAAAAGTGTACCATCTTCAAAAGCTATTATGTACCCTTGCGTTTGAGGTTACAAAATCTGACTTAGACCAGCAGGAAGTGCAGGTCCTTAGCTACCAAAGTGTGTCTCAGATTTTTTAAATTCCTCCTCTTCTAGAAACTATACCCTGTCAAAAATTGGCAAATAATTTTTCCACCCTCCCGCAGCTGTATTTGGGTATAAAAGACGGACCAGAGAAAATAAAAAAATTTTGAGACACACTTTGTTTGCCCAACGTCTGCCCTGGCCGTGTGCAAATTTTCGAGCCATTCGATTGGTTCCTTGGGTACATAATAGCTTTTTCGTACCTGCATGTAGAGGAATTTCGAGTCCGGAGAAAACGGGATTTTACTGATCGCATTTGCAAGATACACTCGTAAACCACAGTGTAATCCGGGTCAAGTCACTTGAAGATTTAAGATCAATAAGCCTGTTTAAATAAACACGGCCGTACATTGGATATATGGATGTGCCATGCGATATTGTAAATGAGACATGCGACCACGACCGCAAAGCAACGATAATCGGCTTAACAGGTCAAGAGATTTTCAGGCCTCAACTAAAAGTTTTGATAAAGAAATTATGGAAACCTTCGTTTACATGGGATTTTTTCCACTTTCAAAATTTCTGTTTGTTTCAAATTTGGTATCATTGTGCGCCTTGAAAGTTCGGCTACTTTAAGCCTAGCGCACACAGCAGATTTTTGTCGCAAAAGACGAAGATTTTTGTCTCAAAAGACGAAAATCTGTAGTGTGCGGGGCAAAATCGCAAAGATTTTTGTCTTTTACGATTATCTTTGAGATAAAAAATGTTTGATATTTGTCTTTGTCTTTTACGACGAAAGACAAAAATCGTGCAATGTGCGGGGTCGAAAGACAAGTTTTTAATTTTTAAACCA